TCTTCTTTTGTTATGCAAAAAATCGCATTCAGCCTTTGTTGTGCTTTTTTCCCGTTCACTTAAGGAAGACTTTTGGTTAATTCAGCTATCTTCAGTTCAAAGCTTTCAAAATCTGAGGACACCTTTTTGACTTGATCTTTTGCAATTTCAAGTTGAATACTTAAGGAAGACTTTTGGTCTAGATTCTGTTTCAGAACTCTATGATTATTGTCTAGTCTCTCCTTTAGTTCTTTGATTTGATTGTCCTTTTCAAATAAGGACTGCATTTGATTATTTAAGGAAGTATGTAAGGTACTTACAGAGCTTGTTGAACACTCGCTTTCGGGGATCTTAGCATCACCCTTTCTTTCATCTCCCTCCACACGTGCCATAAGGGCATAGTTGTCTTCCTCTTCCTCCTCCTCAGAAGAATCTTCTGCCCAGTTCTCATTCTCAGCAATCATGGCAGAGGTTTCTTCTTCTTTCTGCACCATCAGCATTTTCTGCTTATTCCACAGCATCTTCTGCTTGTAGAAGTTAGCATCTTTCTTCTTTGGGAGGCGGCAGTCTTTGATCACATGTCCAGGCTTGCCGCAGTTATAGCATTTAAGAGCTTCTTCTGCTGATGATGCCTTCCTAGAAGATCCTTGATCATGGTTCTTCTGCTTGTAGTTTGAGGAGGAAGTTCTCAGCCTGTTGGAGGAGGTGTTCTTCTTAGCAAATCTTTTGGCCAGCAGTGCCATCTTTTTCTGTAAGTCTGCTAGCTCAGCTTCTAGATCAGATTTGTCATCGTCACTCTCATCATCATCTGATTCAACCACCACCTTCTTCTTTTTCTTCTTTAGTGAAGTAGTTGTCCTTCTTGGCTGAGCCTCCATTACAAGAGCTAAGCGGTTTGTGGTGTGATGATCCTCAGCACAGGCAATCTCGTTGACGAATTGCTTCAGATGTTCATAGAGTGTGCAGAGGTCAATTTCGTCCAAATCTATCCGAGATCTGACATCCTTCACTGTCTTTTCCCATGCAGGATGCAGGCTGGATAAAAATCTAATATTCAGTTCCAGATTGGACCTGAATACTTTGATCTTTCTGAGTTCATTTACCAGTTGAACAAGTCTGTTGTAAGTCTCATTCAATGGTTCTCCTGGACCTGCTTTGAAGGAGTCATAAGCGATGAGAATCGTAGTCTTCTTTGTTTTGAGGCTGATGCTTGTGCCTTGTAGCAGCTTCTCTATTTCATCCCACATTTCCTTAGGTGTCTGCATGCTATCAATGAGAACATAAACTTCATTTGGTATTGCTTGAAGGAGGTACGTTTTGGCCATAAGGTCACCACGAAGTCTGAGCTTGTCAGCTTCTGTGTATTCAGACGGCACTTTTCTCCTTATTTCTGGAAAAATAGGAGGATTATTTTCTGGATCTCCACCAACTGAAATCAAGAGTTCAGCTGGTCCTTCAAGCAAAGATTCGAGCATCGCAGAAGAGTTCTCTTTGTGCTCGAGAAAATTTAGAAATCTGTTCCTCCACATTTGATATTCTCCCTTCCTGAGGCTAGGAGGGGTACTGCTGTTCCCTTGTGCATTGTATTCTGAACCCATTGCTGTTTTAAACTGACCGTTCGAGAAAATTGATCAAAAGATTTTCAGAGGCAGAAAGTCAAAAAATCAGATGTCGAGATCTGAATATCGAAATCTAAGATTTCGATAAAGGAGGCCCGGTATCGAGATTTGGGCTCGAGATTAAGGATCTCGAGATTAGGGATCTCGAGATTTCAAATTTCGAGAAGCTGATCTCGAGATTTGAAATGTTGAGAAGTTAATCCCTCGAAATCTTAATCTGAGAAATCAAATGTCGAGACCAGATGTCGAATCCTTTTCTCGAAATCAAGATCTCGAAATCCTAGATGTCGAAATCCTCAATGTCGAAATCCTGCAACCTGTAAAAATCAGATAAACAAAATCTGAAGGTAGTTTCCTGTAGAGTAGAATGTCGAGATCTTCGTGTAAAGTTTTCAGCTCGAAAAACGTAGCAGAACCTGTGAAAAAGCAGGATGTCGACAACCCCTGCTCGAGATATCTCGAAATCTGAATTTGCGTAAAACACAATCTGAAGTATACCCTTTGATCGCTTTGAAAAGGCGATTCCAAAGGTGTAACTTTTACAATTTTTGAACAAGAAACAAAATTACAGAGCAAAAAATCGACAGAAAGAACTACGTTAACAAAAACAGAGTATTCTGCAGGAGTTCTTCTGATCAGTTCTCGATCGGCTCTGATACCAATTGTTAGTCCCTGTTTCTGTAACAAGGAAGATTAAACGTAAAGATGAACACAGAATGAATCACCGTAAAACCTTCTTTGATAAACCGTGGAAACGTACAACAGAATGATATGCGTAAGGCTATGAATAATAAGTACGACGTTCAACCTATTCCTAAACCTCGGCTCCCTTTTTATAGGCGAGGTTTAGGTTAGGCGTACCAGGCTTTTAGCCTGTTTATATGGGCCTAACACTTGGCCTGATTTCTATCTAATTCATGCACTAATTAAATACAAGGATTAAATATAAAGCTAATCTATGACCAACTTGATTCACAATTAAATATCTCCAACAATATAGAATCACCATTTAAAAATATTAAAAGATCATCAGCAAATCCCAGATGTGGAACAGACCTGCCCATGTTCCCCATCCAAAAAGGTTTGATTTTACTATTCTCCATCAACCAATTCAATCCTCTAGAGAAATCCTCTGAGGCAATGATAAATAGAAAGGGGGAAATGGGATCTCCTTGTTTGACCTCCCTTGAAGGCTTAAAAAAATTTTGAGGAGAGCCATTAACCAAAATAGAGAAAAGGAAGCCTTTAGATTATTAACAACCAGCTTAACAAAATGAGAGGAAAAGCCAAATTTCACTAAAGTTTCTGCAAGAAATTGCCATGAAACTCTATCAAATGCCTTTGCCATGTCCAGCTTCACAATCAGGTTACGACCCCTAATCTTCTTGTCTAAACAATGCACCATTTCCTGAGTAAGTAAAATCTGATCTGCTGAGTCTCTATTAGCCATAAACCCAGCCTGTTCAGGGGAGATAATTCTTGGAAGGATAATTTTCAGCCTAGTTGCCAGAACCTTAGTACACACCTTATTAATGAAATTAGACAAGCAAATGGGTCTAAAATCACTAAAAGTAGATGGCCTGTCGGACTTAGGAATAAGAACAAGTAATGAGCTAGCCAGGTTCACAATATCTTGCAGAAATAGACACCCCCAAGAAGAATTCTTGATCTGCCCTTAAAATATCCAGGTTAACAATATGCTAACATTTCCTAAAAAACTTCCCATTAAAACCATCTGGCCCAGAAGCACTGTTTTGATTCAAATCCCAAACTGCTAATCTGACCTCTTCCAAATCTGGTATTTTAATGAGAAAGTTATTATCATCATGTGTAATTATGCATGGAATGTAATCAAGAATGCCATTGCTCTCAATTTGTTCTTGTGTATACAGGTCCCTAAAATATTCAACAGCAGCATATCCAATTTGAGAAAGAGTGATAACTTCCTGACCAACCTTATTCTTGATAAGATTAATTCTTTGTTTTCTCCTTCGTACATGAACAAAAGAATGAAAGAATTTAGTATTGCTATCCCCTTCCTTGAGCCAATTAATATGAGCCTTTTGTTTCCAAAAATTTTTCTCCAATTTGTATTTTTGAGTTAGCAGCCCTTTTTTATAGTACCAATCTTCTCTTTGATGCTCCCCTGGATTTTCTTCAAATGCAATTTCTGCTTGCAACACTTCCTCCTCACATTTTTTTAACTGCTCAAAAATATCCCCAAACTTTTCTTTATTCCATAGCTTTAGCACTTTCTTGAGATTTTGTAACTTACGCATCAGACCCCTCATTCCCCTTCAGTGCCATTAGAGTTCCAACTTTGTTCCACAGTTTCCATAAATGTATCATTATGAATCCACATATTCTGAAATCTGAAACTCTTAGGTCCTGACAAGCCAAGATTAGAACCCTGAACCATGATAAGGCTATGATCAGAAGGTGATTTTTGCAATACTGAAATGTGAATGTTATCAAATCTGTCCAGGAACTCTTTGTTAAAAAGCACCCTATCAAGCCTTCTCCACACCATCCCATTTGATCTTATTCCTGGGTATAGTTGGGACCAGAATAAGGCAAATCAATCATGTTACAAGCTGCTATGCAATCAGAAAATTCATCAATACCATATTGAAAAGGCAAGTCTGTTCCTTTATGGTCACTGTAAGATGTTATGGCATTAAACCCCCCCCCCCCATCATCCATGGATCCTTAATGCTAGTAGAGATTTCTTTAAGACCCTCCCATAGTTGTCTTTTATGGATGTAAGTGTGTCTCCCATACACCCCTGTAACCCATTCACTGAAAACTGATCCTGTAACTTGAAAATGAACAAACTGACCATGCCAAAGGATATTAGAAACATCCAAGTAGGAAGAGTTCCAAAATAACCAGATTTTATTAGTGTCAGAGCACATTACTTTATCAAAACCAAGGGTATGCTTGAAAATATCCATTTTGTTAAAAGAGATCATTAGCTCAATAACAATCAGAAGTTGTACTCTCCATTGCTTTACTAGGGAAGTCAGTCTAGAACTGGAGGATTCTTGACCCCTAGTATTCCAAATTAAAAAATTCATTTAGAAACAGTTGTGCTTGTGGCAAAGGCAGCCATGTATTCGTCAGTTAAAAGTATTGAAGGGTCAAAGTCATTTACCTTAGAGGTACTGGCAGTGAGTGCAGTAGTTGTTCTGTCCCCAGCTTCTTCTTTCTCTTCTTCATTCATCTCGAACTCATAAGATTTGAGATCAGAGATGAGCTTTTCTGTGCTGTAGGTCCTGAGGTCCTTGATATCTCTCATGGCAGTGACCTTCATCTTCCAGGGTGAAGGTAAACCCCTGAGAACTTTCAGGTTGATCTCCTTGGGTGTCAGTTCTTTTCCAAGCTCTGAGATCTCAGCAGTAAGGGTAAGCAGGTGTGCATACATCTCAGCTATGCACTCCTTGGGGAGAAGTTTGAAGTCTTCAAACTTCTTCATGGCGATTGTCATCTTGTTGTCTTTCTCCTGCTCATCACCAGCTCCTATCAGGGTCAGAGTATCCCAGATCTCCTTGGCAGAGGTGCACTTCTTGATTCAGGTGAAATACTTGTCATCTATGGCTTTGTAGAGGATATCCTTGGCAATGTTGTCAAGGTTGCATTTCCTCCTTTCTTCATTTGACCACTCATGACGTCCTTTGATGATCATCTGAGGTTGATCACCACTAGCAAGATAATCTGGGTTCACCTTTTTGAACTGAGTAAAAGGACCTGCATCAAGAACTTCCCACATCTCATCATGCAGAGCACAGAGGTGTGTTTTCATCCTGATCCTCCAGTCATCAAACTTAGTAATTGAAAACATAAGATTCTTGGAAAGTGTGTTATCCATAATAAGAGATTTAAACTAAAGGCTAAGAAACAAATGGATCTTTTTTCAGCAAGTAACCTAAAAGATTACAAGAACCAGGAGGCTCTGATACCACTTGTTGGTCCCGTTTAAACTAGGAACAGTCTAGAGGGGGGGTTAAATAGACTGTTCACCATTTTTCAAACTTTTCTCAAAGTCATATTGGTGAATATAATGGGCTCCTCCCTCAGCCGCTTTACGGGGGGCATATGGGTGACTTCCCCATGTAAAGGGTCTGCGCCCACTTCTTCCTTTGGCTAGCGGAGTCTCCCCCAGTGTTGCCTCCATTGATCATGTGGATGTGGCGCTTGTATTGGTGTTGGGGATCCTCCTCCTCACTGAGATTCCCAATCTCACTCTTCTTTCCCTGCGGATTTTCTAAAGGGATGGTGTTTGGTTTAACCCATTTATTGGCCTTCAGCGGGGGCCCTTGGTGATGAGGGGTCCCCTAAGGAGGAGGGGCCCTGACGAATTGAGACAGATGGCCTGCCTGTATCAACCTTTCGATGGCTGCCTTCAGCTGATGGAAGTCATCAGTCTTGTGCCCTTGATGGTGATAAAAGCGACAGTAAGGTTCATCGGGGTTGATGGCATATACTTCCGGGGGTGTGCGAGAGTCTCGCTCTATGAGGCCCCTCTCCTCGGCGAAGTCGAGAATGACGTTGATGGGATGCGTCAGGGGTGTCCGAGGGTGCTCCAGGAGAACAGGCTGCGCCCATGCCTTCGGGTTGTTTTTGTAACCTCCCCCGGACTTGGCTTGGCCATGCCGGAGGCGATCACCTGAGGGGACCGGACCTTTGGATTGGTGGAACAGAGCCCCCGGGCCCCGGTTGTTCCTGTCATCTGGCCTGGGGCGCTGCTGCTTGGGGTTTTGGTGACATTTTTCCACCTCCTCGACCTCTGTGTACCGGTCTCCCCGCTGGAGGGCCCTTATGTAATCGCGAGGGGGTTCGATGATGAGGCTCCTCAAAAAGTTCCCGATGCGGAGGACCGTCTGCAAGAGAGCCAGAAGGGTCCTGTCGTCGGCCCCGTCAACTTTGTCCGTCTCCTGCCTCCAGCGTTCCAAGAAGTCTCGGAGGGTTTTCTCCTTCTGTTGTCTCACCGTTAGTAGGTGGGAGAAATGTTTCCTTGACCGGTTCATTCCCGCAAATTGTGTCAAGAAAAGTTGGGCTAGTTCTTGCCAAGAGCCAATGCTGCCCTTGGGCAACCGGTTGAACCATTCGTACGCCGGTCCCTCCAAAGTGGAAAGGAACCAACGGCACAAATACTCATCTGATGCCCCCATCATCATCATGTTGTTCTGGTACCTGCTGTAGTGCTCCTGGGGGTCAGTCTTTCCTTCGTAGGGCTTGATGGGTTGCCCTCGGTACTTTCCCGGAATATGGGCTACCAATACCCTTGGGGTAAATGGCGTCCTTGTCCGGAGTTGGATGATGGGCTCCCCGGAGCCCTCGGCAAATTTTCTTTGCATCTCCTCCATTTTGGCCAGCATGGTGGCATATTTGGGGTCCGCCTGCGAGGCGGAAGCGGTCGTATGCGCTTGGCGGGCCTCCATTTCATCAAAGCGGCGTTGGAGGGCCTCAATGATCTCGTCCCTATGATCCTTCGGGAGGGCCTCCGCCCCCTGTGATTGTACACAGGCCGAGTGGGCCTGGTTGATCCCGTGTCTGGCGTCATCGGCATGGAGTGATCCCTTGCCTTTGTCCTGCGGGGGACGCCTCTCGTCTGCCCTCGACATAGATCCCCCGCTTTCCTGAGGTCTTTGGAATGCCTTAACCCCGAGGCGGTTTTGGACCCCTCGGCGATCTTGCGCTCCTCCTAACCCCTCGAGGGCAGAGGTCCGATGCCTGTCTTTGTTCGCACCGCATTGGTCCCGAGACTGGACTTCATGGGAAGCGGCGTCCTGAGCCATGACCCCTTCGTTGTTCCCTAACCGAAGGACAGGGTTTACGAAGGGGGGTGGAGGTGGGGGAGGAACGACATTCTCCCCGACCTGCGGTTGGAGTGGCACCAGAGTGCCGAAGGCCCCTGAATTCTGGGTGAGTGTCTGGATGAAGGCAGAAAATGCCGATTGTACGTCAATAGTGAGGACCGGAGGGCTCACTTGATTTTCGCTCCGGTCCTTCCTTCATGTTTCGATGTCGAGGCGGGCATCGGGAGCATTCTGCTGGAGCTGAAGGCGCAGGTCAACAATAGCCTGTTCATTCCCAGGTTGTTGGAGGCTCCGGGGGCGTCGACTTCGCCGAGGGCCAGGTTGTTGTCCTCAAGGGTCTTGGACTGGGCACGAGTGGTTCTTCCCATTTTCATAGATGTTTTAAGTTTGGTGAAGGGGAGGGTTTCTTACTTGATTGTTCGACCTCTCAACGAGAGCACCAAATGATGGATAGTGTACCCGGGGGTAGCTTATCCAAGGGGTTATTACGGGAATAACTTAGAGAGAAGTCAGGGCAATAAGTGAGAGAGAGAAAGTGTATTCGAATATGTGAACATGTGATGCTTTACAATGGAGAATGGGCTGCTTTTTATAGCAGCAATAAATACTAGATAACGACACGTGCCAACAATCTAACAGTCGAGGGGTCACCTCAATCGGGATGGCACCGGCATACGCATGTGTGTCGCATTAAATGCGGTGGGTGGATGTGATGCTGCATTAAATGCGGTTGTTGCTTGTCTCTAAAGGGAATCTCCGATGTCTGTGTTGTAGCCGAAGGCTACCCTTATGCTGAGGGCTCTATGCAGCCGATGGCTACCCTTATGCCGAGGGCGTGCATGTGCTGAAGGCTCCTGATTTACGCCGTTTTCTCCCAGTAGGTTCGTATGTAGAAGATTAGTTGTTTCCTGGAGTTTGGAGCCCTCGACCATGGGGCCGAAGGCACCCGTATGTGCATCGTGGGTTTCTTGACACTTGGGCCGCTGCGCTTTGGGTATGCTCCTTGGGCCTGTGTTAGAGTAGTGGGAGTCTGTAGGCTGGGGGTCCCTGGTCCATATACTCTATCAGTGATATTGACAAAGGTAGTAGCAATGAGGAGAATTAAGGGCATACATGGAGGGTGTTTAAGAGTTTAGGGAAGACGGATTTGAGAAGATAAAGGGAAATTAAGAGTTTACTTTAGTAGTTTCGATTTGTGAACAGTCTTTTGGAGAGGTTGTAAGAATTTAAGAAAAATATAATCTTTAAAACCTTGATATTGAGGAGGAACTTAACGAGGGATCCCGAGTAAGACTTGAGATCAAAGTAGATAAAAAAATACCCAAACTCGTGATAGCCATGTCCACTTGGTGGTCCCCCTTCGAGTTGGTTGTTGCATTCTTCAATGAGATGAAGGTTGAGGATGGTGGGGAATTTATAGAAATTAGTTCAAATAGGACTAAAACTATGGCAAAAACCTAAAATAGGACTTGCTATGTTTTAATTCCAAAATAGGACCATATGAGTCCTATTGGAAACATACCTGTTTTTGCATTCCATTTTTACCCTTCCATTAAATATGAATTAAAAATAGTCAAAAGTCATAATTAAAGTTTGATTCATAATAAATTCGAAAAAAATTCAAAAATTCGTAGAAATATAATTGAAAAAATTATAAAATTTTTATAAAATAAAAAATTCAAAAACTTTTTTTTTAAATAATTTTATTTTTAAAAAAATTAATAAAAAATAGTAAAACTCCGTAAAAAAAATTTAAAAAAATATGGATGCCTTTCCCACCGCTTGTACTACCTCCCAGCACCATCATCTCCGGCTGATGAAAAAAATGACATTTTCCCAGAAAAATGCCATTTTTTTCTTAAAATGCCAAAAAAGTGGCATATTTCTCTTTTTGAATGCCAACATTTTCATTTTTTTCTGCCATAAATATGGCATTCGTAATGAACTTGGCATTTTCCCCCCTGGTGACTGGAGGTGGTGGTGCTGAGGCGGCAGACAGGGGCGGACCCACTAAGGGTCCCACGGGGTCCCGGGACCCCGCGTACTTCCAAAAAAATACCTACATATTTTATATATTTTATTTAAAATTTACTTATAAATGTATATATAACACAAAACAACTATGAATCTCAAAGAATGGAGTAGAGTAATGGAGGAAAGGCTTTAAAAACCTTTACTTTTCCTTGAGGTGCAAGGATTGATTCCCTCTCACTCCTAGTCCTCCTTTTTTGGTTTATTACCGTAAAAGATCACAACTACATCCTTTTGCCTTTTTTAAAAATTCCCAACTTTACACTTTACATAATTCAATTAATTACTAAAATTTCTATTATGATTTTCGATTATTAAGTGAAGAATTGAATAAAATAATTGGTGAATATGAAATTAATTTGACTGACAATACACATGATCAACATATTTATTTTGAATCTTTAGAAGCTTATCCTGGTTTGAGAAAAAATTGTTGATTTGCATCCTAATGTTCAAGATGGGGTGCGTCATAGTAGGGATTATGAAACGTTGTACTACTTTAATATTTGGAATTTTATCAATTCAAAACTTGAAAGGTAAATGAATTATCAATCCGAGACCTGAAAGAAGAAATTTATAGATATAAAACTCAAATGATGAAAATTGTCAATTTAGGACTTGAATGATTGAAGACTATCAATCTCGGACCTATATTGTCATGAATTTTTATTATTTTTATGTTAAGATTTTTAAATATTACTTAGTTTTATTAAACTAATAAACTTTTGTGGAAAAAAGTTTATCAAAAATTAGCAAAGGAATTAATAAAAAATAAATAAATCAAAATCTATGAAGTCTTAGATCCTAGATTGACAATTTTCATCTTTCGGGTCCTATATTAATACATTTCATCTTTCGGGTACCGAATATATAATTTATCTATCTTTAAGGTTCTGAATTGATAAAAGTTCTTAATATTTTGATGATGTACATTAACTATGAAATGTTATGCTACTTTAATATTATATACTTACATTTTTTTAATTTGTTATTGGTTAGAGTTACATTAAGGTAGGGACCCCGTGACTCCGATTTTCTGGGTCCGCCACTGGCGGCAGAGGCGGCGACGATTTTTTTTTTTTGAGTTTTTATTTTTTTAAATTTTTTTTTTTTTTAATTTTTTGAAAAAAAAAATTAATTAATTTTTTAAAATCGAAAATGTTTTTCTTAATTTTTTAGTATCTTTTACGAAATTTTATTATTTTTTATTATTTTATTAGGAATTAAAACATTTTAATAGCTATAAGGGTATAATTGTCCAAGGTACATATAATTAGTCCTATGCAAACATAGTTCATTTTTTGGTCCTATTTGTGAAAAGTGAATGACTTTTAGTCCTATTTTGATAAATAACTCGGGAATTTATTGTTAAAAGTTTTATCCTTGACATGGGTTCTTTTGGAGGCCATGAGGACGGGGTGCTCCCTCTTTGTCCTAGAGAGTTCACGGACCACGCCACTTGAAGGCTTCATGAGAAGGTGGACACTTTTCAAATAAGTGCTACACCACATGATTTGAAGATTGAAAGTCAAGAGGTAGCAGTCAGGCATACATCAATTTTGAAGGGACAGGTCTCTGGTCCAAAACCCTTCAAGTTTTAAAATATATAGACCCTATATTCAATGACATGGACACTAGGATTTTTAAGAAAAAACTCAAATGTAAATTTTTCATTTTGCGTAATATTTTCGGGGAAATGGAAAACTATTACCTCTACACTTAGAAGACAAAAATGACTAGTGATAAGAGTATATGAGACCAGAACCATGATCCATATACTCGTGGATACACGAAATCTCCCTAATGCTACTGGATCAACCGCCTCGATTGAGCCCACTCCTCCCAAGCGAGGCCGAATTGCACGAAAGGTTTCCAGAAACGAAGAAATCAAGATATGAATCCAACAGCTTTGCTAAAAAACAGTCACCTCGCCCTGATCAAATCGACCAAGAACACATAGCAGATAGCATTTACATTGTAGTTATATAGCTTACTTCGTGTAGCAATCGCTTAGTGGCCCATCATATTAATTGGGCCCCTAATGCCCAAGCCCGGGAACCCAACTCATATTTCTCTATAAATAACCCCTTGAGGGTAGGTATTGCAAAACATTAAATATAAAACCTTTTTCTCTCGAGCTCTCTCTTATCTCTAGAACTATACTCTATCAACTAGTTGTCATTTCTCCAAAAATGTGACTAATCTTTGTTTCATAAATGCTACTTCCGTCCCAATTTAAGCTTATCACTTGTCTTTTTCAAACTTTCAAACTAAAGTTTTCCATTTCTATTTTAGGAAATAATTAGCAATTTAGCACTAACCATTTCAACATATATTCATATTACTTTATTTAGTTAATGTCAAAATAACCATGTCATTTCTCAACGAGAAAGCTTAAGCAGGGACGGATGTAATATATTCTTATATACACCCTTGACCCTGCCCCGCCCCTGCCCCACTGCCTTCTCCAGCCACACCAACGGGCGGCCACCAAAAAGCAGTGACAACAGAATAACAAAGAGATTTAGGCCTTCCACACGCATGCTCACAAAAAAGACTGACGGTCGAAATGTGGAATAGGAGGAAAGTTATTTTCAACGCGCAGTGCATGAAGATATATCAAAAACAATGAAATGAATGTCAAAACAGAGGGTATGCAATTGACTGGAGTCAAGTTCTGTAAATATTGTTTTGGCGTTACTTAAAGTCCCCTCAACTTTATTTCCACACGGGTGATGGATGCATGGGGTGGGAGTTATTTTGTACAGAGAGGCGCACACGAATACAAACTATACACACAACACTGACATTAGAAATTGACATTAGAAATTGGAGTGTTACATAATAATTTATAGGAAATCCCATCGCCAATAAACTTTCTCCACGATGCCACCACCAATTCGGATGGCAACACGGAGTGTTTCAGAAGCAGGAGGGATCCCCCAAAGAAATGGAACGGCAACGGTCATCGTTAGCCTTTCATTCAAGCCGCTATCATTGTTTCCTTTTTCTGCACAAACAACCTGCACAGATAATCATTTCTTTAGCGTAGGCAGTGATTGCATGGTGTAGATGCACCTATTTAGATCCATTTCTTTACCTCTAAATACGGCAAAGTAATCTTCCACTCGTAAGGACTAAAGAAGATAAAAATGAAACGAAAAATGGATAAGTACCTACCTCACCACCTTGTTCCAGTACTATGTCCTCCACAACATCACTCAGCATCTCAACAGAACGGCAAAATCCCAGAATACATAGCTTTCTGCCCATGTCAAGACCCTGATCCAAATTGGCACTCATCGCCCTTTCAATATACCTTTCGTAGGAAAATAAAGAAATAAACTAGAAGACAGAAATCTTTACATTTGTTGCTGCAATATCAAAAAGTGAACCCAAACAGAGGACTTGATGTGGATCCATGTAATCACTCTCTTTGTACCGTTGTACTCTTTTGGCTATTTTCACTTTTCCTGTCTTCTTCTGCATATACAGTGATTATTAGAAAGAGCACCGAGTGCATAACTACTTTTGATTCATGTCAGTTTTTTTCTTTGGCAAGCACATTTGTGAAACTACAAAACTGTATAAAATTGAGTCAAGAGAGAGGTTTAATGGCATACATCCGATGAAGAAATACGTTGTTGGACGAAATTCCCTCCTATTTGTATCAGCCCATCAGTGGTGAACAGTGTGACTTTATCCTCTTGTACCCATTGCATCACTACATATTGCAGACACAAAGAACATGACATAAGTACATAACTAGACTAAAGTTTAGTACCCAAATAAACCCAATGAATATATAACAAAACAAGTTGCCTATAGGCTTTTAAAGAGTTACATTATAGTGTGTATGCTCTTGGTTCCAATAGCAGATCCCAATCCTAAACTGGAGTTTTACCTTAATATAAATAAGAAAACCAAATAGAATGTGGTTATTGTAGCTCCTCCTGCAGCCCACACAAACCACAAATATTGCATACAACAACATTCAAGCCTTAATCCCAAAAGAGTTGGAGACCGACTAAATGAACGACAAATGAGATCAGAGCTAAAAAAGATAAAAGAAAATTAAAAAAAGATAAAAAAGGGATAAGATAAAAAGATAAAAAAAGATAAGATAAATATAGAAAGATAAGTTAAAAAGGATCGGATAAAAAAGATAAAAAGATAAAGACTATAAGAAAAACAAAAAAGATAAAAAATGGAAAAGACGAAATGAGATCAATACTTCCCTCAAATATTATGCATTCACTTCTCTCTCAAAGTCATACTCTCATCCAACACAAGAAGTAGCATATCACTCCTAACTCCTCTAATCCACGTCTATTTGGGTCTTCCTCTCCCTCATATTCCCGACACTTCTCACCTCCTCCCTATTCGTCTAATAGGTGCATCAATCGATCTTCTACACACATGGTCAAAACCACCACCATTGAGACTGTCACATCTTATCTTCCATAGGTACTATTCTCACTCTTTGTTTGATTGTCTCATTGCTCAAACAGTCTTTTCTAGTATGTTCACACATCCAATGAAACATGTGCACCTCAGCCACACTTATCTTTTGAATGTGACATTGTTTCACCATACAATACTATATCAAAACCACAATATTGCATACTTGCAAATAAGAGTATCATATTCATATGAGCCAAAGGTAACCTGGTCCACAAAGTGCTTTTAAGTTTCATCAACCAAGGTAGCAACTACAAGAGTAAACGGGTCTTTTTGGTGGAGCGTATATCTTATAAAATTTTTGCATAACTATAATAATAATTATGTTAAAAACGCTATTTGGGAGAACAAAAAGAGGTTTTGAAATAAAACAGTATTTAAAACGCATTAACCCTCTGTATAGCTTAACATAAATTCTGATGTTTTCTGTTCGTTTCCACTCGCACTCTACTAAGTTGTGAAAAAAGAAAAACACCTTCTACATATTTCTCATTAAAAATTTAACTCCAAATTTGTGCTTTTACATCCAAAAGCTTATTTAAAATGATGAGTACCTCGTTCAGTCTAGCTTTACCGGAAGGTGTGCCAAACATAGCCACAATTTGATTTATTTATCTATTTGAATTAAAGATTCAGCAAATTTAAAGGCCTTGCACCGCACTGTGGATTAAAACATGCACAATGACAAGTGAAGGTGATAAAATATAAATGGAGTTTTTTTACAAAAACATTTTTTTTATTCTTTTACATTCTACTGAATGAACCAGATCAGGTATTCAATTACAAAGACGAATAAGTGGTATTGAAACTACAAACTAACAATCACCATAAATCATTTTCGTTTGTGCACAAAGGACAAAAAACTTGATAAGATTCATCACAATAACATAAGGAAATCATTTTTTTGAACAATTCTCACAAGGATCCGAAGAACCGGAGGAGTCCCAAGGATAATCCCCGAACGCATCGTCGGTGATGAAATTGCCCGACCCGGATGCATTGACTGCAATTCGGACCAAACGGGTTGGCGATCCGCCAAGCGATTTCGGGAAAGACAGAAAGGAGAATCGAGTGAATGAAGAAGAGGGTATTGGTTCTTTGGATGGTGCGATTGGCGAGAAGGTGAAGAAACAGAGAGCGCAAGCATTAGGCATCGTAGCGATTGCTGGACATATGAAATGAAAACTAAAATTCATAATTAACAATATCCAACTGTCTCTAAAGAGAAGTTTTTTTTTTTCTTTTACTTTGAGCTTATATCGAAATGACTGAAATTTATATAATTCTGATCGAAGCGGTTGATTTGATTTAATCTGCTGATTTAATAAATAAAATAAAATATACGGAGTTTTTTTGATAATTGGCCCTCTTTCCATTTTGGGTAAATGAGTATATTTCCATTTTGGGTAATGAGTATATTTTGGAAAGAGGGTAAATGAGTATATTTCTTAGTTATATCTTAATATTCTTTTTCATACTACCACACATTTAAAAGACAAAAATAAGATGGGTTTTTTAAAAGAATATTACTAAAATAAAACATATTTACATAATTATGAGTCATATGATTATTCATTACACAATGTAGTGTTGAGGTAACTTAAGCTCAAAACTTGAACATGAATTACTATGATTTCATTACTACTTTAGTCATTAGTCATATTTTTGTAAATAATCTTTATTTTGTAATATTGTTGTGGTAACTTAAGCTCAAAACTTGGCCAGATTTAGATTCATTATAAATCTGGACAAAAATAAAACTAATAATAACTGAATGGACAGAAACACCCCTCACATAATTCTTTCAAACGCAGCAAATCATTTTGCGCTCGCAAATCTACTCGTCTCCCTTAGTTGTGCTCGCAACATCCATGGCCTCTGCATCCATCACCGCATCAGTAATGTAAGGCTGATAGATCTTCCAGCTCAGGTCTCCAGCCACACGAACCCGAAGGTTCTGTAACAACTCACAACCACCACAAAAAGGACCTACCGGACCGGGAACCGCCACCAAACGCAAATTATACCGTATGACCGGTATACGGTGAGCACCGTATACCGGTCTTTATTTTTTGCAAGCACAGTAACAGACTTCTTTAGTTTTTATTCCTTTTGTTGTTAAAAATTGTATTAATTTTTTTATTTCATATCCGATTTTTATAATTTTTTTTTCATTATATATCAAACGAGACCAATATTGCTTATGTAATTTTAAGAAATTATCGAACTATTATATTAATGAGTATTGGATTATAAGGAAAATCGAACTAAATTTAATACAGAAAAATAATTGTGTAAATCACAATTTATCTTAAAATTTTGTATATAAAAAAATTATTGTATTATGTATTTATATATGTGAGTTACATATTTTTATACGTAAAGTTACACATTTTTACACGCAAAGTTACATATATATACACACGAGTTGCATTTGGCCTGCCTGAACGCGAGTTACATATTTTTACACGTAAAGTTACATATTTTTACATGTAAAGTTACATATTTATACACGCGAGTTACATATTTATACACACGACTTGTATTTGACCTGTCTGAACGCGAGTTACATATTTTTACACGTAAAGTTACATATTTTTACACGTAGAGTTACATATTTATACACACGAGTTGCATTTGGTTTGGACGTGAGTTACATATTTCTACACGTAAAATTACATATTTTACATAGGTT